CTCGCCAGACAGACAGAGAGAGACATAGAGACAGAAAGCGAGAAATCACCCCCCAGGGGGGATGGTCACGCCGCAGTCCCTTCTCCTCCATTCTCCTCTCGGGATCTTGGGCACGCACGCACATGCGCCCGGCGTGAGTTTTAAGCCACCGGGTCCGGGACACGAACCACGGTCGACTACGTGGGAGTCCAGCGACATAGCTATTACGCTAACTGCTGGTTCCCTTATTTTATTTTTTTGAAGTCGACAGAGAGACAGAGAGAAGGAAAGTGAGATAGCAAGCTGTCAGGTCTGGGACTCGAACTGTGGTCAGCCATGTGGGAGTCCAGCCACCTTAACCACCATGCCACCTGCCACCCGAGGTCCTAATACCTTTACTTACTGTACCTAGAATTTTTGAGCACAGAGACTGCGGCTCCTTGGGGTGGTGAGTGGTGTGTGGTCCGTGCACGAATGTCGAGCTCAGTCATACTGAAGGAAGTGAGTTGGGTCTCTAGCACTTTGCTCTTGCTGTCTGCACTGGTGGCCAGGCTGGCAGCCTTGCACACACACTGCGATGCTCCGTCTTCCTCTTGCCTGGTGTTCATTCATTCTGCAAACACTGATGAGCCCCTGACCTGTGCCAGGCCCAGGCTAGCTGCAGATGCCGAAGTGAGTCTGACATGGTCCTGTCCTTGAGGAGCTCAGCCCAGCTCGCAGGTGCGGCACTGGTCTGATCAACAGCTTGAGCCCCAGGTCCTGGTAAACAGCCTCGGTGTGTGTCTGAGCCTCTCAGCTGGTGTCCACCCGTGTAAAATGGCAGCGGGCCCAGCACACTGCTGTTGAACGCACCACAATGGTAGCTGCGATTCTGGAAGGGGCTAGTGCTGAGGTTGCTCACGACATCCTCCCTGGAGGACCGTGGTCAGAGAAGGCTGCTCAGAGCTGGGTCTTCCAAGTCGGGTAGATGTTCTCTGGAGGACAAGGTAGGAGGAAGGTGGGAGAAGGGCGTTCAAACCAAGCAAGTAATTCTGTCAAGACCTGGAGGCCTGAGCTGTTCCACTCGTTTGGGGAGTGGTGAGAGAGCTGCTCGAGAGATTAGCAGGGTTGTTGGAAACCACACCGAGTGGATCGGGCTTTATTTCATAGGCAGTGAGGAATCCATGAAAGGTGTGCTTTTTTTTTTTTTTTTTTAAAAATTATGTTTTATTTTAAATTTGGTATAGGGCATGTGCACTCACCAGAGAGAGAGAGAGAAAGAGAGGGAAAGTGAGAAAGGAAGCTGCCAGGCCTGGGATTTGAACCACAGTTGGCCATATGGGAGTCCAGTGCCTTAACCACCATGCCACTTGCTGACCCTCTATGAAAGGAAGGTTTTAGGAGAGTGAACATGGCTCATTTCACTCAGGTGTCCCTGGTGGTGTACGAGGAGGTCCTGAACAACGGGGAAGCAGCTGTGGCTGCTGGCTTCCCCTCTGCTTCTCCCTGGTCCATGTGATCAGCAGAGCCCTGCTGTGCTGGGCCTTCTCCCAGGATGAGGCACTTGGAGCCTTTAGGGTTGGAGCCCAGGAACCTGTTGAGGTGCCCACGTGGTCCTGCCAGGTCTGGGTCTGGGAGAGTTAAAGATACCACGGTGGGATCTTTGAGGCAGTCTAGAATATTCTTGAAAGATGGGACTTCCCAGGAGGAAGCTTGCTGTAACTAGGAATAGGAACACCTTAGCTTTTATGTATTTATTTTTAGGTTTTGCCATAGGTACGTGTGCTTGCTGGGAAAGACAGAGAGAAAGTGAGAAATCATCCCCGAGGGAGTGGCCACGTTACAGTCCCTTCTCCTCGGGATTTTGGGCATGCTCACATACACACCCAGCATGATTTTCAAGATGCCATGTCTGGGACTTGAACTGCATTTGGTCCTGTGGGAGTTCAGTGCCTTATCTACCATGCCACTCATTGGCTCCAAAACAACCTGAGCTTTATAAAAACCTTCTCCTGATCCTCCATTAGTTCCCTATTAATAATACTTTCCCATTGCCTCCTCCCTGTGTGTCAGAAGGCTTGCCAGGGCCTACCGTGTGCTGCACCTTGCCCAGGGCCTGGGACATGAGACCTGTGGGGCACAGGCCGTGCCCTGGGGAGCTCACAGAGTCACGGCGAAGACTGATTTCAGCCAGACGGAGCTGACAAGCTCTGCTCTTGTGTTAAGGCATCCAGGACCAAAGCCTGGTTCATTCTCCCGAACCTAGGGAAATATAACACCCGAACCACGCCTAACAAGAAGAGAAGGGAGAGGCAATGGCAGTGGCCTGGTGTTTGGGGTTCTGGACTCCCACATGGCTGACTAGAGTTCAAGTCCCAGACCTGGCGGCTTGCTTTTCACTTTTCCCCCTCTCTCTGATAAAATTAGAAAATAATAATAATAAATAAAATATTTTTTAAAAGAATTACAAAAAAAAAAAAGAAGAGAAGGGAACAAGAAGAGAAGGGAGAGGCAATGGCAGTGGCCTGGTGTTTGGGGTTCTGGACTCCCACATGGCTGACTAGAGTTCAAGTCCCAGACCTGGCGGCTTGCTTTTCACTTTTCCCCCTCTCTCTGATAAAATTAGAAAATAATAATAATAAATAAAATATTTTTTAAAAGAATTACAAAAAAAAAAAAAGAAGAGAAGGGATAGACCGAGGGAACTACACGTGTAAAGGTGTGACTCCTCTGGACTGAGGGAAGTAATAGGTGCGGTCGCTGAGGCAGGGTGCTCAGAAGTAGGGAAGGACCGAGGAGAGCCAAGCTCGGGTGCCAGGAGGGCCCTGTGTTTGCACCCTTTGGTGTGTGCTCTGCTTCCACCCTCATTCTTCAAGCACTGGGCGGCTCCCAGCTGAGTGGCTGCAGGGGTGGGTGCATGTGGTGCCGTGCAGTAGCCGGCTCCCCTTGATCCCCACCCCAGGTTCTTTCTTTCTCTCGTTGTGATTTCTGCATCCATTCTGAAACGAGTATCTCTCTGTCTACTCTGAAAAGGGAGGGAGGGAGACTAGGCAAAAAGAAGGGCCCAGCGGGACTGCAGATACTGAAGGTTCTTGCCAGAAAGCTGTGACCTGGGAACGTGACCTTGGGCGTTCAAGTAGGTCTTGAACATCACTTGTCTAGTCCCTGTCCTGTGCTTCAGGTGATGGGTGTGATTCAGGCAAGCCTCACTTAGTAAGTTTCCCTGTCATTTCTTTCAGGGCAGAAGAGGAAAGAAACTAACGGGTATTGAGCACCTACTATGTGCCAGGCCCAGGCCAGGTACTTTACATAATTTATTTCCTTCTGTCCCCACAACTTTGTGAACTATTATTCTCATTTCATAAATGAGGCTCAGAGAAATTGAGTATTGTCCCAAGATCATACTAAAAGCAGCAGAACTGAGATTTGAACTCGCAGCTGTGTGTTTCCAAAGTTCATGGTCTTCTCCCCATGAGAAACCTATGCTGGGGCAGTTTGGCCTGAGCACCCAGGTAAGTTAGCAGCTTGCACCTTCCTGTGACAGGTGTCGCAGGGAGCAGGTTCAGCCAGTGGGCGAGTTCAGGGCACTGAGGGTTGTGTCAGCTCCCCGTGAATGAACCACAGCTCTGACTGCAGTGCGAGGGTGGTCGGAGAGGCTCTACACCGACTGCCTTCTTGGTGGCTTAGAGTGGGGCAGCCTGCCTTTAGATAGCATGCTGGGGAGGGGCTTGGCGTGGCCATGTTACTTCTGCGGCACGAGCCAGATGGGCTGTGAGCATTCGTTCATTCAATTGGTGAATGCGTGATATGTGCCAGGCCCAAGCCAAGCCCAAGTTCCAAGACACACTTAAATAACCAGGAGCTCCTCCCTGCCCCCCAAAGAGCTCACATTCTACCCCAGGGACTTCGGGGGCGGACAGAATGCATCTGGCACAGTGTGAGAGCTCTGCTAAACTCAGTTGTTCCATGCAGTCTGGTTTAGCAAAAGCTTCTTGACATTTGACCAGCATCCTGGAGGATGAGTAGGCTTTACCAAGGAGTAGGTGTTTCCCAGCACCTGGCACGGTGACTGGCACTAGGTCTGTTTGTTGAATGAGGGAAGGAATGGGTCAGTGAAGAATGAGTGACAGCAAAGAGGCTGGTGCATTTTTGTGGGCTGGGAGTAATCATTTCTCTGTTTCTGAAAGAGAGTTTCAGCTGCTTTGTTGTTCTCTGTCCACCTGGTGACGGGGAGCTTTTGGAGTTGGGTACCTTGAGAGCTGAGTGCTCCACTGGGCCCTTTCAGAATAGATCTGGAAGCTGTTGCAGGGCAGCTGGTTAGAGGCAGCATTTGTCTTGGGGAAACCCGGTACAAACACACACGAACTCTTGGGACTGAAAGAAATCCATGGGAAGAATGACATCACGTTGAGTGTTAGAAATTCTATCCAGGGCCGGCAGGTGGTGTGGTGGTTAAGGTGCTGGAATTCCTACATGGCTGGCCATGGTTTGAGTCCTGGACCTGGCAGCGTACTTTCTCACTCTCCCCCTCTCTCTTTCTCTGGCAAAACTCATGTGAAAAATAATATTAATAATAAATAAATAATTTAAAAAAAAAGAAATTCTCTCCAGTTTCAGAGCAGTGATAGGCCGTTCTGGTGACTAGCGTTATTCCCCAACAGTTCCCAAAGTGTGGACAGAAAGCCAAGGTGAAAACCTGAGTCGTGCCCTGCAAAGGGCTACCCAGATGTGCCACGAACCATATCGCAGTTACTAATACTCACTGCTGCCTTGTGGGCTGTCAATGTGCCACAGGAGCCACTAGAGGCTTTGTATCTGCGGTTCTCCAAGTGCTGGGACTTGGGACCCTTTCACATTTCCAAAAGTATTGAGGATCCCAAAGAGATTTTGTTTATGTTGGTTATAACTATTGGTATTTACCAGATATCTGACTTAACAGAGTAAAGCCAGATTCTCATAAATCCTTTACTCAGTTTTTTTGCAATACATTGTTTTGGTTAAATTGTAGGAGAAAAGTTCAGCCTCACACAGATAGATAGTTGGAAAAGGGGGGCTGCTTTAGTGGCCTTTCCCGATGGCAGCTGTCGTCTGTAGCATGGAAGCTGAGACCATGTCACTGAAGTCTTCATGCTCCTTTACATTAAAATCCGTTGGTCTGCCTAGCACATTGAGTGGATAATTTTTTTTTTTTGGAGAGGTTTTTTTCGCTATAGGGCACGTGCGCTCGCCAGACTGACAGAGACAGAGAGACAGAAAGCGAGAAATCACCCCCCAGAGGGGATGGTCACGCCGCAATCCCTTCTTCTCCATTCTCCTCTCGGGATCCTGGGCACGCACGCACACGCTCCTGGCATGAGTTTTAAGCCACCGGGTCTGGGACGCGAACCGCAGTCGACTACGTGGGAGTCCAGCGACATAGCCTTTACGCTAACTGCTGGTTCTGAGTGGATCATTTATCAATGTGTGATTCTGTAACAACATGCTTCGGTCATTGGGATCTTAGGTTCACTGAGTTCTGCAGCTCTTCCGAGTAGTTTCCCATTTCATTTTACAGCATCACCAGGAATTTCATCAGAAAAGTCTTGAGATGCTCTCAAGCACGTGGTGGTTACAGGTTTCCTAAATTTTAATTTTAGAGGTTTTTGCTATAGGGCGCATGCGTTTGCCAGAGAGACAGAAAGCAAGAAATCACCCTCCAGGGAGGATGGCCATGCTGCAATCCCTTCTCCTCCTATCTCCTCTTGGGATCTTGGGCATGCACACACACGCACCCGGTGTGAGTTTAAGCCACTGAGTCCAGGACTCAAACTGCAGTTTGGGAGTCCAGCAACATAGCCATTATGGCAACTGCTGGTCCCCTAAATTTTAATTTTTGCCTGAAAGCTTAAATTTTATCATTGTCTGCAAATACTGTCAGTTGTTTGCCTTGGAGTGAGAGGGTCACTTGTTCATTTTTTGAGAAAACGTCTGGCAGTACCCAAGATTGAATAACATCAGTCATTGTTTCAAGTGAAGATGGCGTCACATGGAAAGAACCCCCCTTCCTTCAATGTTCTCTCTGTTTTGATTCTAGGACTAGAATGCCCTTGCTTAATGCTTCTCAGGCCAAGAGATCAATCTTGGGCCTGGTCAGGTAAGAAAGCAGAGGAAGGTCCCTGACCCCTGGGGTGGCTGCCGTCTCCAGTTCATCTGGCCACTTTTCTGCTCTGGGCTACCACACGGATCCCGTGATGCTACTCCGGAAACTCTGATTTTGCTCAGAGAGTCAACTGGAATTAACTTGGAGCAGAGGGCACGTGCGCTCTCCAAAGAGAGTCAGAGATGGAGGGAGGAGCCCGCCCCCGCTGTGCTCCCTTCTCCTCCATTTCTTTATCCTATTGTGATCTGGGGCACACATATACACGCCTGCCACCACCCCCATGTGGTGTGGTCATACCACAATCCCTTCTCCATTTCTCCATCCTATCTGGGTTTTAGGCACGTGCACCAAACACTAGGCTACAAGGCCAGCCCATATGTGGGAGTTTTTTTTAACAGATCCAGAATCAATAGAACCTCAAGAACTTTCCTTTCCTCTTTCTCCATCCTTTGCCTAAGGCTAGACGATGTCTCTAGAAACCAAAATTTAAACTGAGGTGAACAGAAGCAGTTGTCGGCCAGGCTGCTGCTAAGGGTCTGTTAATGTCAACCTCGTGGTGAAGAACAATGGTTGGGTGTTTCACTCATCCGATGGACATTATGACCATGCTGTTTGTGTGGGGTACTGCTCCGGGTGCTAGAAGTACAACTGAAAAACAGCTCCTTGAAAAACCCGGGTCGCCTGACTCTTTCCGGTCATAAAGGGTCACGATCGTGAGGATTTGGAAAGTGGCAGGAGAGTGCAGTCATTGGGAATCTGAACCAAGAGCTGTTCTTTGTCAGCAAAAATCCAAATGGGTTGCAGCTGAATGCCACGTGTCTAGGCTCTGGGGGCTCACCACCCTCTCACTATTAAAGTAGGGACAAAAATGCGAGAGAAGTTTCAAGCCCTGTGGGCCATTGTACCCAGGGCCAGGTGCCGGCACCCAGGGTTAGAACACCAGCTTTGGGGACCAGCAGTTAGTGTAATGGCTATGTCGCTGGACACCCACGTAGTCGCCCGCTGTTCAAGTCCCAGACCCGGTGGCTTAAACTCACTGCGGGCGCGCATGCGTGCGTGCCCAAGATCCTGAGAGGTGAATGGAGGAGAAGGGATTGCAGCATGGCCATCCCCTCTGGGGGGTGATTTCTCGCTTTCTGTCTCTCTGTCTCTCTCTGTCTGTCTGGCAAACGCACGCGCTCTATAGCAAATCTTCTCCAAAAAAAAAAAAAAGAACACCAGATTTGAGGGTGGCTCCCTCATGCATATTCTTTCATTTATCTCTCCCTCATTTGTCTCTCATTTGTCTCTCCCACAACACAGTGGAAAAAACATTTTTTTTTTTTTTTTTACTCATCAGAAATGCTAACTCAACCATTAAATAGTAAAAATCCTGGCTTTTTGCATAAGCTCTTTGCTCCTTGTGTTTCTTATTTGTAAAGTGAGTTGTAATAATAACATCTATTTGAGAGAGGTTTTGCATGAATAAATTAATTTATAAATTTAAAGCAATTATAAAGTTTCTTAGAAATAGTAAGTGCTCTATTACTATAGAGTGCGCTATTACTATCACCACTATTATCGGAAAATGTATTGTTTGTTTACTTATTTCTTTATTACTTATTTATTCAACTAAAATATAAGTCCCAAGAAGCATGAGCTCAAATGTTGTGTTCCTTAAAGTTCTGTACTGTCAGGTTGATTGCATAGTACATTGGAGGTGCTTATTCAAGATGACTGCCTGGGTGAATTCACTCATCCATCTGTTCCACACATGTTAAATGCATGCCTGCTGGGCATAAAAATATTTACTATTCTTTAGGACCAAAAAGATAAATAAATCTCAATCTCTGCACTAATAGATCTAGTTCTTTCATGGGAGGACAATTATGCAAAGATGCAATTGGAATACAATGCAATAAGTGTTCTATTAGAAGAAATCATTAATAATTTCTGAGTACTGCTGGCATGCAAGAGAGAGATGCTTTTGAATAGAAATCTTTTAGACAACATGGACAACATTTTACTATCTTAACCACATTGCTAACTTAAAGATTAACCCAACATTTTGGCTTCTGGAAGTGATCCTGAATGGGTTAGATAACAGATAGGAACTTGATTTTATTTATTTATTTTTTTTGGAGAGGTTTTTACTATAGGGTGCATGCACTTGTCAGAAAGACCAAGAGAGACAGAAAAACAGAAAGCAAAAAATCACTGCTTCCAAGGGGGATGACCATGCCACAATCCCTTTTCCTCCATTCTCCATCCTATCTGGGTTTTAGGCACGTGCACCAAACACTAGGCTACAAGGCCAGCCCATATGTGGGAGTTTTTTTTAACAGATCCAGAATCAATAGAACCTCAAGAACTTTCCTTTCCTCTTTCTCCATCCTTTGCCTAAGGCTAGACGATGTCTCTAGAAACCAAAATTTAAACTGAGGTGAACAGAAGCAGTTGTCGGCCAGGCTGCTGCTAAGGGTCTGTTAATGTCAACCTCGTGGTGAAGAACAATGGTTGGGTGTTTCACTCATCCGATGGACATTATGACCATGCTGTTTGTGTGGGGTACTGCTCCGGGTGCTAGAAGTACAACTGAAAAACAGCTCCTTGAAAAACCCGGGTCGCCTGACTCTTTCCGGTCATAAAGGGTCACGATCGTGAGGATTTGGAAAGTGGCAGGAGAGTGCAGTCATTGGGAATCTGAACCAAGAGCTGTTCTTTGTCAGCAAAAATCCAAATGGGTTGCAGCTGAATGCCACGTGTCTAGGCTCTGGGGGCTCACCACCCTCTCACTATTAAAGTAGGGACAAAAATGCGAGAGAAGTTTCAAGCCCTGTGGGCCATTGTACCCAGGGCCAGGTGCCGGCACCCAGGGTTAGAACACCAGCTTTGGGGACCAGCAGTTAGTGTAATGGCTATGTCGCTGGACACCCACGTAGTCGCCCGCTGTTCAAGTCCCAGACCCGGTGGCTTAAACTCACTGCGGGCGCGCATGCGTGCGTGCCCAAGATCCTGAGAGGTGAATGGAGGAGAAGGGATTGCAGCATGGCCATCCCCTCTGGGGGGTGATTTCTCGCTTTCTGTCTCTCTGTCTCTCTCTGTCTGTCTGGCAAACGCACGCGCTCTATAGCAAATCTTCTCCAAAAAAAAAAAAAGAACACCAGCTTTGAGGGTGGCTCCCCGGAACTGCATGGGCCCGAGAGAACTCAAATGTACCAGGCTCAGAGAGGACAGTGTAAGCTGGGCGCTAGTGTAGATGTTATCTGTCAGAACAGAGCAGGTGAGGGCCCAGGGAATGGCCCGAGTGGTCTGCTCCTGGATCCCTTGATCCATATCGCTAATGTCGCTGAATCCTCTGGGCAGCATCACACAGTGTAGGCGTGTCATCTCTGCTTCAGGGATTGCTGAGTCAGCTTTCCGGCCCTGTGTCTCCTCGGGTAACGGGAAGAGAGCCTGCCCTGGAAAGCCAGTCTCGCAGATGGAAGGCGCGCCTCGTCTGTGTCGTGTACCAGTCTGGCTCTAGGAGAGCTACGTGCTCGCCATTAATTGGGGATGGCTCACTGTCATCCCTGAAAAACAGTCTGCTTTTTCATGCTTGAGATTAGAACCGTTTGGGTGGAGAGAACCAGCAGATGCCGTAATGGCCATGTTGCTGGACTCCCATGTAGTCTACCACAGTTTGAGTCTCGGACCTGGTGGCTTGAAACTCACACCTGGCATGTTTGCATGCATGCCCCAGATTCCTAGAGGAGAAGGAGTTGTGGTGTGGCCATCCCTGGGGGGTGATTTCTCACTTTCTGCCTCTCCAGCGAGCACACATGCCCTGTAGCAAAAATCTCTCAAAAAAGAAGACTTTGGGTGGAGGTCCATGGTGGAGAGCTGGTCTTTGTGGGAAATGATCATTTCAATCAGTGTCTCACTAAGCTGCCTTCCAGCTGTCTTGCCATGGGGACACCTAACCAGTCTGATTTAGCTAGGGTATGCCCAGCTGAGTCTGTGCCCCGAGCCAGGCCCCGAACCACACTGGGAGGGGTCCAGATAGGAGGCAGCCCTGCTGCTTGTCCTTCAGGGGCATGCCTAGTAGCAAGGTCAAAAGATACAGCTGAGTAAGTAAAAGGTGCAGATTCTGTTGCCAAGTACAACATGTAGGGGACATGGAAGAAGAGATGTGAATGGCAAGAGGAACTTTAGGAGAGCCTGGAAAAGGTCAAAGTTTTAGGCTGGGCCTTTAAACCTTGCCTGACTATTTACTGGTAAACATGGGAAGGAAAGGAGTTTTTGTTTTGTTTTGTTCTTTGTTTTTTTAAGCAACCCCTTCTCCTCCACTCTCTTCTTGGGATTGTGGGTATGCACACACATGTCTAGCCTGAGCTTAAGCCACTGGGTCTGAGACTCGGACCTCGGTCAACTACGTTGGAGTCCAACAACATAACCATTATGCCATCTGCTGGTCTCGATTCTTGCATTCTTATAAAATACAGTGATCATTGGGACCACCAGGTGGCATGGTTAAGGGTGCTAGACTCACAGATGACTGACCATGGTTCAAGTCCCGGACCTGACAGCTTGCTGTCTCACTTTCCCTCTCTCTTTCTCTCTGGTCATCTGGTCAAATTTAAATAAATAAATATATAAAGTTAAATAAAATAATTCTTTAAAAGAAAAACACAATGCGGGAATCAGCAGTTAGCATAATGGCTGTGTCGCTGGACTCCCATGTAGTCGACCACAGTTCAAGTCCCCGACCCGGTGACTTAAACTCACGCCAGGCGTGTGTGTGTGCGTGCCCAAGATCCTGAGAGGAGAATGGAGGAGAAGGGATTGTGGCGTGGCCATCTGCTCTGGGGGGGTGATGTCTCTCTGTCTCTGTCTGTCTGACGAGCGCATGCGCCCTATAGCAAAAATCTCTCCAAAAGAAAACACAAAACAAAACAAAACACTGGGTACATGTGCATCCATGCCCAAAATCCCGAAGAGAGAGAAACAGAGGAGAAGGGATTGTAGCGTGACCATCCGCCATCACAGGGCAGAGGAGGCTTTCTCTCTGTCTCTAGCAAGTTCACGTGGCCTCTGGCAAATTTTTTTAAAAAAGGAAAAATGAATGATTACCATACGTCGAACAACGTCTTCAGTGCCTGGAGCTGTGCTAGGTGCTTCATTCCATTGGATTCTCATAGCCAGCCCTACACCTAGGACTTACTGCCATTTGGCAGATGAGCAGAGGGTAAGGGGAATGTGCCCGTCATTGTCTGGCTGGTAAGTAATGGAAGCCCAAAATTAACGCTGCAGCTAGTGTCGCGACCACCGCCTCCCAGTGCCGAATCATCGGTCACACATTTAACTATAGAAATTGGACATTTGCATTGAAAAGAAAACAGAAAAAGCACTTACTATTCACTGCCTTATGCATCTGATTCTTGGCTGTACCTATAAAACTGTCTGTGTTTTGTACATTGCAGGTCGCATTAAGATTTTCAAGGATAAGGGGCCAGCAGGTGGTATGGCAGTTAAGGGCGCTGGACTCCCACCTGGCCGACTGTGGTTTGAGTCCCAGACCTGGCAGCTTGCTTTCTCACTTTTCCTCTCTCTCTCTCACTCTGTCCCTCTCTGGTCAAATTAAAATAAATAAATTCAATAAATAAAATGCAATAAAATAACTTTTTTTTTTTAATAAAATAACTCTTAAAAAGATTGTCAAGGGTAATTTTAGTCATACAAGATGAGGTGGAAATAGTACAGTAAAGTTACATGTCCTGGTGTTTGCATTAAGAATACGGTGATTGGGACCAGCAGTTAGCGTAATGGCTATGTCACTGGACTCCCACGTAGTCGACTGCAGTTTGAGTCCCGGACCCGGTGGCTTAAACTCATGCCGGGCGCGTGTGCGTGCGTGCTGAAGATCCCAAGAGGAGAATGGAGGAGAAGGGATTGCGACGTGACCATCCCCTCTGGGGGGTGATTTCTCGCTTTCTGTCTCTCTGTCTCTCTCTGTCTGGCGAGCACATGCGCCCTATAGCAAAAACCTCTCCAAAAAAAAAAAAAAGAACACGGTCACCATCCTTACCGAGAAAGGAACTTGGGCTTTGGCCTCGCCTCGCCATCTAGAGTTACACCGAAAGTTTTCTGGGTACAGTTCTCTTTTGTTTATTTATTTCCATTTGTTATTTTTTTTAAAGGATTACTTTATTTAACTTTATTTATTTTTAATTTGACCAGAGAGGGACAGAATGAGAGAGAGAGAGAAAGCAAGCTATCAGGCCCAGGACTTGAACTGTAATCGGCCATGTGGGAGTCCAGCACCCTTAACCACCATGCCACCTGCTAGCCCCCTGTTCTCTCTCTCTCTCTTTTTTCTTTTTTTTTTTTTTAGAGAAATTTTTGCTATAGGGCCCGAATGCTTACCAGGGAGACAGAAACAGAGTAACAGAAAGCGAAAAATCACCCCCGGGGTGGTTGGCCATGACGCATTCCCTTCTCCTCCGTTCTCCTCTTAATATCCTGGGCCCGCATACACACGAGCCCAACATGAGTTTAAAGCCACTGACTGGGTCTAGGACTCAAACCGCGGTCAGTTACGTGGGAGTCCAGCTATGTAAGCATTATGCCACCTGCTGGTCCCTCCGGGGTACAGTTCTCAAAAGACCTCCTTCACCTTGATTTCTCTGAACACCACCTTTCCCCAGCAGCTTTCTACCCCTTCCCACGAGACCCTCACATTGGCGGCTTCCTTTGCAGTTGCCCTAGAGCAGCCACGCGCTTGCGGGGTGAGCTTTTCCTTTGCAAAGTCTGTTTAGACGGTGTCTCTGTGAGCTCTGTGTGTAGAACTCCTCTCTCTGATGCTCTCCCAAGTCCGTGTATCTGCCCACATGCTCCATTATGTTCTCGTTCAGGTCCTCTTTCTAGAAAGCACAGCCCGGGTCAGTGTGTTTGTCATGTTACAGATTTCACGGTACCCTGTTGCCCTCTCAGTGCGAGATGTGATTTCACTTGAGAAAGGATGACGTCGATACTCTTATTTTTCCTTTAGCTCTCTGCAAACACGTTATCTAGTGGTGGGTAAGTGGGGAAGGTATGTCCGTTGAGAGCTGTATGTAACAGGCCACCCCAAAACCTAGTGGCTTAAAACACCACCATTTATTATCTCTCATGGGTCTGCTGCGTGACTGGTGTTTCTGCTGATCCTGGCAAGGCTGGCTGATCACAGCTGGGCTCACTCACGTGCCTCCGGTTGGCTGACTGACCATCTGGGAAGACCCCCACACGTCTCCACATGTCTTTCACATCTTCCAGCAGCTAGCCTGGTCATACTCTCATGGCATGGCAGAGGTGTGAGAGTGAACAAGCCCAGCCATGCAAGGAGGCGGGTAGAAACACAAAAGCTTTTCAAGCTGGCAGCACATTTGTTAACGTCTCTGGCCAAAGTGACAGGGCTAAGCCCACTGTCAGTGGGAGGGAGCCTGTAGGAAAGCCATGAATCGGGGCCATGGAATGCAGTCTTCCAGTCAGGACTCCTCAGTGAAAGAGCACCTGTGTCTCTGGGCCCAGTCTGTCCTTGAGGGGAGGAACGGTGCCAGTGGAACGAGCGTGTGTTGGGTCCACCCTGTGGGCATGCGGAGGACAGGCGCTTGGCTTACTGAGGCGCTGATTCTCACAACTCCACGAGGAGGTAGAAATTGGAGCTCAGGAAAGTTAAATCTCTTGCTCAAGGTTCCCCTGCTAATACGTGGTTAGGCAGGGGTTAGAAGGCCAGACTGCCTAGCCCGAAAGTCCAGCTGCTTTTCACCGTACTCGCCGCCTCTTCTGGGTGCCAGGGTCTACGTTCCCTCCCTCTGACACAATTTCCAATGGAATTGATGCGTTTATTTACTTTAGAGTGGTTTTGGGGGGGGTTTGCTATAGGGCACATGTGCTCGCCAGAAATACAGAGAGACACAGAGAAAGTGAGACAGCACCCCTCGGTGGACGGCCACACGCCACAGTCCCTTCTCCATTCTCCTCTTGGGATCTTGGGCATGCATGCACATATGCCTGGTGTGAGTTTAAACCACCAGATCTGGGACTCGAACTGTGGTCAACTACATGGGAGTCCAGTGACGTAGCCATTACACCGTCTGCTAGTCCCTATTTGAGAGATTTTTGCTTTAGGGTGCATGTGCTTGCGGGAGGGACAGAGACCGAAAATGAGAAATCACCCTCCAGGGGAATGGCCACACCACAATCCCTTCTCCTCTGGTCTCCTCTTGGGATCTTGGGCATACACACACATATGCCTGGTGTGAGTTTTATAAGCCACTGGATCGGTTACTTTAATTGCAGTTGACTACATGCGAGTCCAGCAACATAACCATTAATGCCATCTGCTGGTCTGTTATTTACTTATTTTAACATTTATTTATTTATGTATTTATTGCGATTTGGGGGCTGCCAGGTTTGAGACTTGAACTGTGGTCAGCCATGTGGGAGTCCAGCACCATAACCACCACACCACCTGCTGGCAGGAGTTGATGCTTTTTGTTTAGCTATACAAACCTCTTGTCCAAAATGCTGCTGTGATTCTAAAGGAATTCTGCAGATCTTCAGAAAACTCACACTCTCTCCCAGACCCTCTGCTAGCTGCAGGCACTCTGCTTCCACATGGAGATTGGTCTTTAAGCTGCACAGATAGTCCAAGAAATGCCGCCACTCCCAGACATGCCATCTTCTCTTTAACCTTAAGACTTGGGGTCATGGGACCAGCAGTTAGCGTAATGGCTATGTCGCTGGTTCCATGTAGTCGACTGCAGTTCGAGTCCTGGACCCAGTGACTTAAACTCACGCCGGGCATGTGTGCCTGTGTGCCCAAGATCCCGAGAGGAGAATGAAGGACAAAGGGATTGTGGCGTGGCCATCACCCCCCAGGGGGTGATTTCTCTCTTTCTGTCTCTCAGCCTTTAGCTGTATGGCTACTTCACTGGACTCCCGCGTACTGAACCGCGGTTCGTGTCTCGGACCCGGTGGCTTAAAACTCAGGCCAGGCGCGTGTGCGTGCGTGCCCAAGATCCTGAGAGGAGAATGGAGGAGAGGGGACTGCAGTGTGACCATCCCCCCTGGGGGGTGATTTCTCGCTTTCTGTCTCTCTGTCTCTCTCTGTCTGTCTGGCGAGCGCACGTGCTCTATAGTGAAAATCTCTCACAAAAGAAAAAAAAACCCTCTTCAAAAAAAACAGACTTGGGGACATCTGGCTTTGGAGTCAGACTCGCTGGGACCCAGCTCCTCAGTAGCTGTATCATTTTGGGCAATTCATTTAACTTCTCGAATTCTGTTTCTTTATCTAAAAGAAAGTGGAAATAAGAATACCTTATTTGCAGAGCTGTTAAAAGGACTAAAATTATGTCTCAAGTGCCCAGCCTAGTACCTGGTGGGTAGTGAGTGGCACTAGTGATGTTGTCAATGCTGTGTCTAAGGAGCGCTCTCCCACTCCGGGAACCCTGTTTCTCTGTTGGACAGATGTCTCCCGCCTCCAGCCAGTCCGTGCAGACCTGCTGCCTGCTATGTCACCGGGAACGCAGAGGCTGGGAAGAAGGTCCTTCTCAAAACGGACTGGTGTTGCAGGGTGAGAAGCTGCCCCCTGACTTCATGCCAAAGCTCGTCAAGAACCTCCTAGGCGAGGTGCCTCTGTGGGTCTGCCAGAGCTGCCGAAACAGCGTGGAGGAAGACGAGAGGCAGACAGGTCGAGACCGTGCAGTGGCGGTAGGTAACAGCTGGCAAGGGGTCCCCCAGTGCAGGGGCTCTGCCTCCCCAAGAGGTCAGGCTGTTCCTTCCCTGTCTCCTTAGGTGGCTCCCCTTGGGCAGCCCCACACACGGGCCTTGAGAGCTGCCGGCCGCGCTGACACGGCACTAGGGGCCCTGGGCCAGATTTGGGGGATGAAGAGAGGCTTCAGACCACCTGGTGGGCCCTCAGCGCAGCCGTGCGTAGGAAGAGGCTCGCTATATGTGCCTGCAGGCTGTGACCCTGCCCTCCTGTGAGCCTGCTGCCTTCGGCTCTCTGGTGGCTTGGAAGCCAGCTGGTGTGACATGGAGGGTACAGGTCGGTTAGGGTCGGAAGGCCTCCAAGATCCGGGAGCCATCTAGGTCTGCCACCTGGTGGACTGTGATGGCCATATGTTCCCCGTTTCCCATTCCCCTCCAGACCCTCTCTTTTGCCCAGAGAGAGTTCAGCTTCAGAACTCCTGGCTTAAAGACCCCTCTTGTTGGCAGCTCTTAGCGCTCCCCATGGCCCACGGCACACAGGCAGTTCGCGCCCCACCAGTCCCTCCCCAGGGTCCACAGGCTTCACGTAGAGGGGGCCCCACCCCACCCCACCCCACCCCCTGCAGGCCTTGGCCTCCATCTGTCCTGCACCTGGATTGTACTCAGTGAGATTTGGCCGTGGCACAGGGGCCTGGAAGAGGAGGGGCCCCTCCGGGGTAAGCCGAGGCAGCAGAGGGTGGGCTCTAGTGTTTGCCGTTTGACATGAGCCTTTTTCTCCTTCTCCAGATCTCCTTGTCACACACATCTTGCAAATCGCAGTCTTGTGGGGGTGACTCTCATTCCTCCTCATCCTCTTCGTCCTCCTCTTCATCCTCTTCCTCCTCCTGCCATGGGAACTCGGGGGATTGGGACCCCAGCTCGTTCCTGTCAGCACATAAGCTCTCGGGCCTCTGGAACTCCCCACACTCCAGTGGGGGTATGCCCGGCAGCTCGCTTGGGAGTCCTCCAGCCATCCCTGGTGAGTCTCCGAGCCCAGAGTGCCGGGTCCCATGTGGACAGCTGTTTTCCTGCCTGCTCTGTTCACACTCGCCCAGCAGCTCTGAAGCAAGTGGAAGGGGCTGCCTGCTGGGAGGGAGCAGGGGATGACCTCGTCCCAACCTCTGTGGGCCTCCTTTCCTCAGGGCTCACAAGTTGGACATACCATTGATAGAGACACGTTTGCCCCTCAGAGCCGTCCTTGAGGTGACAGCCACTCTGGTGGCTGTTCACATCGGGTCCAGGAGGGGACCTGCTGAGTACAAAGTGGACCTTAGGGAGGTAGCCCCTGGGACACCCAGTGCCTGGCCCTGCAGTACCAGGAGGACCTGGTTCTCCTCCCCGGCCTCATTTCCCGAGGGACAGGTGTGAGAGCGCTGCACATGTCCACTGCCGTGACTGTCAACCAGTTTGGCAGCTGTCCAAGCCATTTTCCGACTCTCGGAGACCGAGAGAAGGCCTTGGGTGATTGGGTAGGCTGCAGACGTGATTTACGGTCACCCTTCTAATGGCGAGGCTTAGCCCTGCGTGGAGCTCCCAGCGGTGCTGTTGAGCAGTGTGTGGCTCAGCCCGGCGTGGAGCTCCCAGCAGTGCTGTTGAGCAGTGTGGCTCCAGTTATTTTGGTGCATGAGCCAGAGTCACAAAGTCTCTCCCACCTCTCCAGGACCTGGGGCCTTGCAGGAGCCTGGGGTACCAGCTGCTTTGCTCCATGGAACCCCACACAGGGCCTCAGCCTGCTGCTCTGTTGGCTCCTGCACAGCTGGCCCCAGGCCTGAGGGTTAACTGAACAAGAGGATGCAGAGCCCCTGAGGGACAGCCCACATCCCACGTTCATTCCCCACACAGAATCCTCTCTGGCTCCGGGGTCCCCTGTGCGAAGAGGCGGCGCCCCCTGGTGACATGAAGCAGGATGCTGTGGCTGTGAGCCTGTGTGCTCTCCTTCCCAGCTCTGGGCTCCTGTTCTGACCCCTTTCTCTTCCCTCTGCCCACAGGTGAGGCTTTCCCCATCTTGGAGCACCACCAGCACTCAGACCTCACTGCTCCCCCTAACAGCCCCACCAGCCACCACCCCCAGCCAGCATCTCTGATCCCTTGTCACCCCGGCCCCTTCAGCTCGCCGCCCCACCCACACCTGCCGCCCACCGCCCCGGCCCCAGCAGCACCTTGCCCTGCCCAGGCTTCAGCTTGCCCTGTTGCTGCTGCTGCCCCCCACACGCCAGGGTCAGGTTCGAGCCCCCATGTGCCGTCTACCAGCATGCCGCTCCTGAAGATGCCGCCACCATTCTCGGGGTGCAGCCACCCCTGCAGTGGGCACTGTGGTGGACACTGTGGTGGGCCCCTCCTTCCTCCACCAAGCACTCAGCCTCCCCCCAGCGCTCACAGGTAAGTGGGGGTGCGAGGCAGACCCTGCTCTTTGTACTTAGTGTTTTGGAGAACTTTGCCGAGGGCACTCGGGGTGGACGTTAAAAGGATTAGCCTGTGGTGTTTCCTCCTCGTTTTCCCAATTAGAAAAGCAATATATGTTTATAAAAGTTTAAAAACTTGAAGCAATTTAGAAATGTATAAAGTAGAAAAAAATAAGTCCTTATAACCTAAAGCTAAATATCTAACAATGGAGTGTTTTTCTTTAATATTTCTGTATGTGAGCGTAAGTCCATATTTGATACACATTTTGTGTAGTGCTTTTAAAACATTGTATCATGATAGTTTTCCAGGTTAAAATCTTCAAAAGTTTTTTAGAAGCTATGTAGCACTCTACTGTATAGCTCTAGCATCATTTATTACTCCCTTAGGGCATGAAGGCATTCCCAGTGTTCTGGCTGGTGGTTGGTTTGCTGTAGGGCATGTGTGCTCCTCTGAAACAGACAGACAGAGAGGCAAGTGAAAACTCACCCCCCTCCCAGGGTAATGGCCTCGCTGTAGTCCCTTCTCCATTCTCCCCTCAGGATTTTGGACGCACACATACACACGGGCCGGCCTGGCTGTTTCAAGCTGTCGAGACTCGAACCGTGGTGTCAGCTATGCAGGATCTAGCACCTTAACCACATTGCCACATGCTGGTCCCATTTCCAGTTTTTAACTAGGATAAATGAGGCTGTAATAAGCATCCTTGTGCCTAAATCTGTGTGTGAATGAGGAATTATTTCCTTTAGGAAGATTCTTTTTTTTTTGAGAGAGAGAGAGAGATTTTTGCTGTAGGTTGTGTGTGCTTCTGGGAGACAGAGAGACAAAGCAAGAAATCACCCCCAGGGGTGGCCACTCTGTAGTCCCTTCTCCTCTGTTCTCCTCTTTGGATTTGGGTATCCATGCACACGCGCCCAGCATGAGTTTTATGCCACAGGATCTGGGACTCCAACCACAGTCGGCTATGTCTTGAGTCCAGCTGGTCCGAGGGAGACCCTCAGGTCTGTCACTGCTTGGAAGGAAGCGCAGGTTTCCTGTGGTGCTCTGAGTCTGCAGCTGCAGAGACTGGGGAGTATTGACCAGGCTCAGGCCACACCACTTCACTGCTGAGCAGCCAGGTCTTGCGACACTGTAACATTGTCTTAGCCTCTCTGGGTGCATTTGCTTAGGACAGTGGGAAGCCTGGTGGTTAAGGGGCCAGATCCCACAAAGCCCACTGCAGTTCAGATCCCAGCCTGGGGTCCACCAGATGGCATAATGGTTACATTGCTGGGCTCCCACATAGTCGGCCATGGTTTGAGTCCTGGACCTGGCAGTTTAAAAGTCATGCCCAGGGGGCCGGCAGGTGGCGTGGTGGTTAAGTGCATTGGATTCCCACATGACTGACTGTGGTTCAAGTCCTGGACTTGGTGGCCTGCTTTCTCTCTCTCTCCCCCTCTCTGCTCAAAGTAAAATAAATAAATAAAGTTAAATAATTCTTCTTTTAAAAAAAGAGGTCATGCCCAGCATATGTGCATGCGTGTCCAAAGTCCCGAGGGGAGAATGGAGAAGAGATGTGGTGTGGCCATCTCCCTGGGTGTGATTGCTCGCTGTCTCTCTAGCGAGCACACGTACCCTGTAGCAAAACTCTCTTTTAAAAAAATCCCAGCCCTCGGAGGCTGGCAGGTGGCTTGGTGGCTAAGGACGCTGGACTCCCACATGGCCGACCAAGGTTCAAGTCCTGGACCTGGCAGCTTACTCTCTCTCTCTCTCTCTCTCTTCCTCTGTCTCTCTCTGGTCATGTAAAGACAATAATGAAATAAAGATAATAAAGAAATGATTCTTTAAAAAAAAAAAAAATCCCAGCCCTTGGGACCAGCAGTTGCCGTTATGGATATGTTGCTGGACTCCCACATAGTCGACCGCGGTTTGAGTCCCGGACCTGGTGGCTTTAAACTCACTCCAGGCGCATGTGTGTGTGCCCAAGATCCCCAGAGGAGGATGGAGGAGAAGGAATTGTGTCTTGCTTTCCGTCTGTCTGTCTGGCTGGCGAGTGCATAGGCCCTATAGCAAAAACCTCTCCAAAAAAAAGTCATGCTCACAAGTGTGCCAAGAATCCCTAGAAAAGAATGAAGGCGAAAGGATTGCTGTGTGACCATTGCTGGGTGATTTCTCACTTTCCCTCTCTCTCTGTACATACACTGTAAAGAATAGATCATTTTGGGACCAGCAGATGGCGTAATGTTTACATCACTGGCCTCCCATGTAGTCTACTGTGATTCTAGTCCTGGACCTGATGGCTTGAAACTCATGCAGGCACATGCACATGTGTGCCCAAGATCCCGAGAGAAGAATGGAGGAGAAGGAATTGTGGCATGACCATCCCCCCAGGGGTGATTTCTTGCTCTCTCGCTCTCTCTCACTAGTGAGCACATGCATCCTATAGCAAAAGTCTCTCTTAAAAAAGAAAAAAAAAAGTTTTTTTTAAAAAAAGAATTAGACTGTGGTTCAAGTCCTGGACTTGGTGGCCTGCTTTCTCTCTCTCTCCCCCTCTCTGCTCAAAGTAAAATAAATAAATAAAGTTAAATAATTCTTCTTTTAAAAAAAGAGGTCATGCCCAGCATATGTGCATGCGTGTCCAAAGTCCCGAGGGGAGAATGGAGAAGAGATGTGGTGTGGCCATCTCCCTGGGTGTGATTGCTCGCTGTCTCTCTAGCGAGCACACGTACCCTGTAGCAAAACTCTCTTTTAAAAAAATCCCAGCCCTCGGAGGCTGGCAGGTGGCTTGGTGGCTAAGGACGCTGGACTCCCACATGGCCGACCAAGGTTCAAGTCCTGGACCTGGCAGCTTACTCTCTCTCTCTCTCTCTCTCTTCCTCTGTCTCTCTCTGGTCATGTAAAGACAATAATGAAATAAAGATAATAAAGAAATGATTCTTTAAAAAAAAAAAAAAATCCCAGCCCTTGGGACCAGCAGTTGCCGTTATGGATATGTTGCTGGACTCCCACATAGTCGACCGCGGTTTGAGTCCCGGACCTGGTGGCTTTAAACTCACTCCAGGCGCATGTGTGTGTGCCCAAGATCCCCAGAGGAGGATGGAGGAGAAGGAATTGTGTCTTGCTTTCCGTCTGTCTGTCTGGCTGGCGAGTGCATAGGCCCTATAGCAAAAACCTCTCCAAAAAAAAAAAAAAAGAAAGAAAGAAAGAAAAAATACCACCCCTAGCAGCTTGAAAAACACGCCGGGAGTGTTTTTGTATGTGCTCAAAATCCCAGCAGGATGGAAAAAGGGAGAAGGGACTGCAGCGTGACGACTCCCCAGTGGTGCTCCCCTCTCTGGCGAGAACACAGACCTTTTGGCAATAAAAACACGTTTGCTTAAAGCCCATTCTCTTTTTTTTGGATTTTTTCCTTGGAATAGGTTCCCCAGAATGAAAACAAGTTCTCAGAGTTTTTGGGTTATTTGGTTTTAAGGAGAGGGTTTTTTTCCTTTCTTTCTTTTTTGTTGTTGTGTTTGTGTTTTTGTTTTTGTTTTTTGCTATAGGGTGTGTGCACTCACCAGAGAAAGAGAGCGAGAGAGTGGGGACGAGAGCAGGCACCCCAGGGGTGGCCACACAGCAGTCCCTTCCGTGTGAGGAGGGTTCTTTTTTTTTTTTGGAGAGATTTTCACTGTAGGGCGTGTGCGCTCGCCAGACAGACAGAGAGAGACATAGAGACAGAAAGCGAGAAATCACCCCCCAGGGGGGATGGTCACGCCGCAATCCCTTCTCCTCCATTCTCCTCTTGGGATCTTGGGCACGCACGCACACGCGCCCGGCGTGAGTTTTAAGCTACCGGGTCCGGGACGCGAACCGTGGTCGACTACGTGGGAGTCCAGCGACATAGCCATTATGCTAACTGCTGGTTCCCAGGAGGGTTCTTAATGCACATTGAAAAGCAGCCTTCCGGGGTCCCATATCACTGTACCGGCCCATAATAAGTAAGAGTGCTGGTTTCCCCAAATTCTGGGAGCATTGGGTATTTTAATAAAATAATTTTCTAAAACTGATTTTTCTAAAATGAATGTTGCAAATATAATAGGCAAGGAAGGGTCGACTGGAATAAACCTCTGTAAGCCCTCCCGAGCTGACTCCTGCTGCCCTCTTTCCTGCTGTGTGCTTACTGCCTGCCTTCCTAGCGCGGGGGCTCTGCTGGGCTCCACGCTCCGTTTGTACCTCCGTTCCAGCACTTCAGCTGTCAGCAACCTGGCTTGGGACTCTGACTCATCCCAGCTCCCCTTCTGGGACCTTCCAGACCCATTTGAGCTGTACCCCAAGAAGTGTTCTGTGCTCCTGAAATCCAGAGGCAAAACCGTGTGTGCGCTTTGTACATGGAAGGCCGTGGGCACGAGACCTGGCTGTTGGTGGGCAAAGCAGTCAAGTACCGTGGGCCTCAGTCTGCCTCCCTACACAACGTGAATAATCATGCGGGACTTTGTGTGTGTGTGTGTGTGTGTGTGTGTGTGTGTGTGTGTGTGTGTGGCGGGAAATAATGGCCTGTGGGCCAGGAGACACATTTGCTTTCCCACAATGCATTGCCCTGTGGTTAGGGCAGCTCTACCCACTGCACAGAGCACCAGGCTCAGATCATGAGGACCTTAGAGATTGGAAGGAAACTAAGCTTGAGACCAGCAGTTGGCATAATGGCTATGTCACTGGACTCCCATGTAGTCGACCGCAGTTCGAGTCCCAGACCCGATGGCTTAAGCTCATGCCGGGTGCGTGTGCGTGCGTGCCCAAGATCCTGAGAGGAGAATGGAGGAGAAGAGATTGCGGTGTGGCCATCCCCCGGGGCGGTGATTTCTTGCTTTCTGTCTCTCTGTCTGTCTCTGTCTTTTTGGCGAGAGCACGTGCCCTATAGCAAAAAACAACCTCTCCAAAAAAAAATAAAAAAGAAAGGAAACTAACTTCATTGACCACCTTTGAGTGTGCACGGGAGCCACCAGCCCACTGATCTGTTCAGACACCTGTTCACTCAGCAATGTCGTTAGGCCACGCCCTGGGACCCAGATCTAGAAGTGACGTGGTCCTGCCCTTAACGAGTGCACAGTCTAGATTAAGAGGTGGACCAGCAGGACCAGCAGATGGCATAATGGGTATGTTGCTGGACTCCCACATGACCGACCAAGGTTCACATCCCAGACCTAGAGGCTTCAAACACGCCAGGGCGCATATGCGTGCGTGCCCAAGATCCCAAGAGGAGGAGGGATTGCAGCGTAGCCATCCCCTGTGGGGAGTGATTTCTCATTTTCTGTCTCTCTCTCTGTCTCTGTCTCTCCAGTGAGCGCATGCACTCTATAGCAAAAATCTCTCTACTAAAAAAGAGAGATGGGGCCAGCAGATGGTGAAGCAGTTATGTTGCTGGACTCCCACACGACCGACCACAGTTCAAGTCCCAGACCCCGTGACTTGAAACTAGTTGCATGTGTGTGAGTGCCCAAGATCCCAGGAGGAGAATGGAGGAGAAGGGATTGCTGTGTGGTCATCCCCTCGGGGAGTGATTTCTCACCTTCTCTCTCATCTTTCTCTCTGGTGAGCACTTGCACCCCAAAGCAAAAATCTATTTAAAGAAACAAGACAGGCAAGCAGACTGCTCCCACATAGCTGCTCATGTGGTTTGAGTCCCAGGTCCAGTGATTTGAGAAACGCCGGGTGTGTGTGCGTGTTTGCCTAAATCCCAAGGGGGGGAGATGAAGGGATGACCATGCCCCACATGGTGAGTTCTCCCTGCCCCCGCAAAAAAAACCACGGAGGTGGGGGTGAACAGGTATCCCAATAATGCACGACAACAGGAGGGTTGGGGTCGCGCCAGGAGGGCTGGCCTCCACAGCAGGTCAGCGTTCACATCTGCAGTGGGTCCGGAGGGAGGCGGGCAGGTGAAGGATAACTGGCACGGTGGGTGGTGGGTGGGGTCTTCCCGGGCCTCTGGGCCACCCGCCCTCACCCCTGGGCCTCTCTCCCTCAGCAGGGACCCTGGGTGCAAGGGGCACAAGTTTGCACACAGTGGCCTGGCCTGCCAGCTGCCCCAGCCCTGCGAGGCAGACGAGGGGCTGGGTGAGGAAGAGGATAGCAGCTCCGAGCGGAGCTCCTGCACCTCGTCCTCCGCCCACCAGAGAGATGGGAAGTTCTGCGACTGCTGCTACTGTGAGTTCTTCGGCCACAGTGCGGTGAGTGAGCCCGCCGGCCGCGCGGACGCACGCCCCGCTCTCCCCGAGACCCCTGCTCGCGGCAGTCACTGCGCCCGCCCGCTCAGTCCTCACAGCACGTGAGGTGGGGCGTCCCGTCGCTGCCTTTGCTCTTCCTGTGTTTCCCTTAAGACTGACTTTTTTTCTTTAGGCAAAAGGAAAGGAAGTGGCAGAGAGAGCTCTGATGAGTATGTGTACGTGTGTAACCCAGAGAAGGGGGCTTGTGCGTGATGAAGGCAGAGTGGAAGCACAAAGGCTCTCAGTCCCCTGGGTGTGACAGCCAGCCGAGGGACAGGCCGTGAGCACAGATGGCGCCAGGAGCGAGGCTCAGCTCAGAGTGCTGCCTCTGGACAGGGGGAGAGAGTGCAGAAGCCTCCCAAGGTGAAGAGCAGAGGGCGGCCGGCTAGGGCAGTGCAGTCGAGAGGAGGTGAAAGAGCGCCTGTCACCTTGCGCGAGGGGTCTGTCCTCATCTTAGAGATGACAAAATTGAGGCTTACAAGGACTCGGTGACTCGCCCAAGGTCATACAGCTTCCAAGTGACAAAGTCCGGGCTCAGACCTGCTCTCCTCGCTCCCCAGTGTTGGCCCAGCTCTGCCCTGTGCCCCCACACCCTTCACCCGCTGCTGCCCGGCCAGAGCTGGCCGAGGGTGAAGCCACGTGCCCAGTGGCTGTCGTAGAGAGCAGTTGTCTTGGCCGCAGGGCGCCAGGTGCCCACGGGTGGGAGTGCTGCGGGCCTCCTGGCCCAGGCGTAACGTCGGCACCTCCCCTCCCCCAGCCACCCGCCGCCCCGACCCGTCGGCATTATACTGAGATCCGGGAGAAGCTCCCTT